GGCGAAGGAAGCCTGGGAGCAGCAGCCGGCAGCCCATCGCTCTGTCATCGAGCATGTAAAAGAGATGAGGGATAGGATTGACCGGGTCATGTCATTAGTCCGGGAACACCTGACAAAGGCGCAGCAGGCCCAACACCGCCACTATAACCGGGCAGCCCAGCCACGGGAGTTCCAGCCCAGAGACCGAGTTATGGTCCTAGTCCCCAATGCGGCCTGCAAATTCCTGGCCACCAGGCAGGGTCCCTATACGGTGCTGGAGAAGATTGGGCCGGTGACGTACCGGGTGCGTCAGCCAGGAAGGAGGAGAGCCGAGCAGCTCTACCACATTAACCTCCTGAAGAAGTGGATGGGGACTAGAAACCAGCTCGCGGCCCTCATCATCTCTGATCCCGTGGTTGTTGATGTCAACCTCCACCTCTCGGCTGCCCAGAAGAGGGAGCTGCAGCACCTGGTCGGTCAGTTCTCTGATGTGTTCTCCTCTCTTCCCGGGCGGAACAACGTCCTGCAGCACAACATCCGGACGCCGCCAGGGGTCGTCGTCAGGCAATGGCCCTACCGCGTCCCTGAGGCTTGTCGGCGAGCTATTGAGGAGGAAATTCAACAGATGCTGAAGTTGGGGGTGATAGAACCATCACGCAGCCCATGGGCCAGCCCCATCGTGATGGTCCCGAAACCGGACGGCCCCCTCCATTTCTGCAACGACTTCCGTCGCCTCAATGAGGTATCCGAGTTCGACGGATACCCCATGCCTCGGGTGGATGAACTGTTGGACCGGCTGGGAAGGGCCCGGTATATCTCGACGTTGGACCTCACCAAAGGCTACTGGCAGGTACCCCTCTCTGAGAATGCCAAACCTAAGACTGCTTTCTCTCCCCCTAGTGGCCACTGGCAGTACCGGACCCTTCCTTTTGGCCTCCACGGGGCACCCGCCATGTTCCAGCGGATGATGGACATCCTGTTGCGGCCCCATCAAGCCTACGCCACGGCCTATCTGGACGACGACGTGATCCCCTCCGAGGCATGGGAAGACCACCTGGACCGGTTACGGAGGGTGCTCTCAGAGCTCCGGAGGGCTGGACTCACTGCCAACCCTCGCAAATGCCACCTTGCCCTCTCCGAGGCGAAGTACCTGGGTTTCCAGGTGGGATGGGGTCTCATTCGGCTGCAGGAGAAGAAGGTGGAGGCGGTATGCTCCACTCCGAGACCCGAGACCAAGACCCAGGTACGAGCCTTTTTAGGGTTGGCGGGGTATTATCGCTGCTTCATCCCCAACTTCTCCTCTTTAGCCGCCTCCCTGACAGACTTGACCAGGAAGGGGCAGCCGGAGAAGGTACAGCGGAGAAGGCCTTCCAGAGGGTGAAGGGGGCCCTCATCTCGGAGCCCGTCCTCCAAGCCCCAGACTTTAGCTGCCCCTTCCTGCTGCAGACGGATGCCTCCGACACAGGACTGGGAGCCGTCCTGTCACAGATTCAGGAGGGTGAGGAGCATCCGATCATCTACATCAGCAGGAAGCTGATCCCGGCCGAGAGCTGCGGTACTGCCTCCTGGGCCGGAAGTTCACCCTGGTCACGGACCACGCACCCCTTCAGTGGATGGCCCGCGCCAAGGATACCAATGCCAGGGTGACCCGATGGTTCCTCGCGCTCCAGGACTTCCACTTCGAGGTACGTCATCAGGCTGGAGCCGCGAACGCCAACGCGAATGGCCTCTCTCGGATCTGGGCAGCTTTCGCAGGTCGTCAGGGGTCACTCCCCACCCACCCCCGATCTCTCCCCTACTATCTCAGATCATCACAGAAAGCAGCGTGTGACCGACCAGCCCCACAGGAGCACTGCATGAACCCTCTGCACTGGGAAGACAGAAGAGAGCACTCACGGCACCGGAGCACCTACCTGGACCTTTCTCACGAACACCCATCACCCCAATAAATCCACCCTCCGGGGTATTGATTGAGATTACTTGTCGTGTGATTCTTCACCCCGTTGCAATATATATATATATATATATATATATATATATATATATATATGTATGCATAAATGTGTTCAAAACATCTGTGCATGTCCCTATAATCTGTTCTCATTTGTATAATCTTGACATGGGTACTTATGCATTTCCCGCTCTCCATTCTCACTGACTGGACTGTGAGCTTCTCTCTCTTGCATCCTTGCCTTCCCCTGTCCTATTCCATTAAACTCTAACTCTCTCTCTTTCTGTTGATTTCATGTTTTAACTCGCCCCTACTTCCCGCCTCTCTCTGATGAGACCTCTTTGAAGTCACGGTTGTCACAGCAACGACATGATAGTGAGGGGATGTTTGCTGGCCATTTCTCTGTGGAACACTGGGGATTCTCTGATCAGCCCAAGTCTATATATCAAACTCCAAAATTAGCCTTTTTCTTGGTAAGTGAATAATCATTCAAGCACAATGGTAAATGTTCACCCAGAGTAGTGCTACCCCCCTCCCCCAATATGTTTAAGGACATGTCTGTAATCATTGCGTGCTGTGAAAGCCGTTTCAAATGTCACTCCGTCTGTGATATTCGAGAGTGCAATAATTCATAGAAGGAGGTTTGAATCCATGTAGATTTTAGTCTGTCCTTGAATGGAGATATCAGGTCAGTCAACAGCACTGGGTGTTATTTTTATCACACATGTATTGGGTTTCCCCACCAGGGGTCTAAAAATAGACACAAAAAAAGGAAGAAGGGAGAGGCAGTTTAGTGAGGAGTGGGAGGGAGGAAAAGGAGCGAGAAGAAGAATGATTGAGTGAAAGACTAGCTCGCTCCTCCTCCTCCTGTGATCTCTCTACTGGAGTGGATCGATCCCGAAGACCCTCAGAGGGTCTCAATCTTGAAACCACCATAAAGTGAATTCTTTATTATATACTGTCAGTGGCGAAGCCTTTTATTGATTGATTGGCCATACAATGAAAGTCAATGGAGTCTAATTTTGTTTACATAAATTCTTCAATATACTTTTGTGTTTTGCTGAAAAATTTTTTTAATCATACAGGTTTATGAGGGTGATTAAAAGATGACAGTCACAGAATTCGTTTTTTAAAAAAGTTAAAACTATTTTTAACATCACTAAATGAACCTAAATCCATTAGGTTACACAACAAAATGTTAAGGTTACTATTGTTCTCTGCGGTTTGACACATTTCTTACCCATACCTTCTTTTTCCTTTAATCTTTGTCGTCTTGTGTTTTTTTAACACTGTCAGACAGTTAGAATGATTAACAAAGCATAAAGAGAATGCCTCAGTTTATCCACTGAATTATTAACTCTAAATCTATTTTTCAGCTCTGTTTTTGATCCTGGTAGAACTGAAAGAATGTTAAATGTCTTCAACTAAGACACAAGAAGTACCCAAGGAAAAAAAGGTGGGTGGGTGATTGTATTTGTACAGTACACTGTCAGAATTTTTTTTTGCAAAAATTGTAGCTTTAGGGGTACAACAGTTTGTCACTGGGGCAGAACTTATAAAGAGACACCTTTGTACCTTTACACCTTTACCTCTCTAGAGTGCATATTAGTACCTTATTAATGCATACTAATACTATAAGAGTAGTAATATGTACTCTTGTGGTACTATTATGAACCCTTTAGGGGTTAAGAAGGTATAAAGGCATCCCTTTAAGAGTTCTGCCCCAGTGACCAGCTGCTGCACCCCTAAAGGTACAATTTTGCATGTTTTTTCTAAAAGTGTATGTTGCATATGCATTATGTTTTGGTGTAATCTAATTATTTCCACCTGACCAGCTTTTATTCACCTAACTCATCCTCGTGCAAGCACACATGCACCACAAATATCAGAGCTTCTCTGCTGCATGGGCAGGTTGGGAGTAAAAAAGCCCAAGGCTGTGCAATGCAGCACCTTGAACCACACACACACTTACACATTTTCTTTAGCACATATTGGTTTATCACATACAGACACACAGAGGCTGCATACAACACACACACACACACACACACGCAGTGTTGTAAACATCTGCTTATGTGCTGCAGTCTAGTGGTAACTCTACGTTTCCCACAGCAGAATTAGCTTTCTTTAACTGCAGTACAGTGGGCCTCTGACAGTGCATTGTGGAACTAAACATCTGTTATTCACCATACCTTCACATGAGTTTCACACAGGAGTTTGCAATTGATCTCTTTGAGAGAACATAGTTTAATTTAAGACATTGTACCTGTACATTTTGGGCAATTCTGATGTCCTCATTTTTATCACCGCATAGATTTTTATATTTCATATCACTTTTAAATAAAAAAAATAGCAGAATGAATGTGAAAACTGTTAATCATGCTTCTTTTTTTTTTTTTTTTTTACAAAAATGCATATAGCCTATTCTTTTAAAATATATTTTGTTAAATATAAAACACACAATCTTTTACAGTAAAAGTATGTTGCTTATTATTTTTTATATTATGTACTTTGGGTTTGTGTACATTATTTTAGTGTCTTGTGTACATACTGTATAAATTGTAAGTAAAAAGGTACCACCATATACTGTACAAAATATATTTTACAACAGTAAGTCAAAATATGTAATTTTACTGTAAAAGTATGAAATCAATATATTTTCTATTATATGGTTTTAAGACTGACATATACTTTTACAATAAACAATATTTTAAGATTTTGTAAGTAAACACACACACACACACACACACGTTTAGTAATTCCAGTAATCCTTTCACTTTGTGTACTCACAAGTAAGCACGTATGCATGTTAGTTTTGGACACCATTTTTGTTGTTTAGGGAATAATCTTATCACATGATCTCCTTATCTGACTCGCATGCCTTCACCGACACATACAGACCGAAAACTAACCATGACCTTATTGAGCCTCATCAGCGTCAAACTACATGAGTGAAAGTCTCTCTTCTGTCATCCCATCCTCACGCCGTTCAGCCAAATCACCGCAGTGCTGAAAGAGAGGGAGAGAACACGCGTGTGGGGTGTGTGTTCGTGTGTGAAAGAGCGAGTGAGGTAGAGAGAGAGGAAAACTGCAAAATCTGTCAAGGTTTCCAGGCGTTCGGTTATTTCTCTCGACGCCTGTGCAGCGCTGACTCGGGTCGGGTCGCGTGCTGGAGGGTGAGTGCTCGCGCTCTTCGTTCTTCATGCACGTTACCATCGCAGTGTGAGCGGCGCGTGATTAGACAGCATTGTCTGAAGTCGAGAGATCGATTTGTTCCGGTGCTTTCGAGCCAAGTATGACAGATTCGGTCAGTTCATATCCAATAGTCCTTACATGTGAGTATTTCGACTGCGGACCACGCAATAGCTAGTGAAACGCTTATTATAAGGCGTTATTTATTTTATTTTTTTCAATTATCTTTTAATTAATCTTTTCAATTAATTTTTGCGACCATAACATAATTTTCTAAATTGTTAGATGTGAGTTTTGTATCGTTTATTTATTTATTTATTTTGTATTTGTCGCACTTAGCGCGAGCCTCCTAGTTACGTTAAGACTATGGACTCGTGTCGTGGTGGGACTGGGACTGAATGTGTCATGGATGTTGTACATTTCTCTAGTGCTGACTTTGGTAACGCCACGAGGAAAGAGTGCACTGCGGTTGTGGGGATTTGAGAAGGGGTAGTCACGCTGTTTGTGTGTGTGGGTCAGGATTTGCCGTCACCGTGAGGACCAAATGTCCCTACAACAAGGATAGCAAAACCTGAAATCAACTACATTGTGGGGACCAGCTTACATGCTGTAGAAATATGAGAAATAGTAATGCGTAATAATGATATGTATGTAGAAATGTTTCTGTAAATGTTGTGTTTAGGGGCAAGTGATAGAAAATAGCATTAGCTGAGTATTTAAACAAATAAGAAAGTCCTCATAATGATAGAGAAAAAAATTGTGTTTGTGAGGGTCACGTTTACCTTTGTTGTGGGGACCAAATGGATGCAAGGATAGTACAATCTGATAGTACAATCGGAAATCACCTGCTTTGTTGTCCATACAGCTGTTCTTATGAGGAAAATGACTTAATATGCTAAATAATGTTTTAATAATAATAAAAAAAGTAAAACCGCAGAAATGTTACTGTAAGGTTTGAGGTAGAGGACAGGAAATATCATTACATCAATATATAAACAATAGAACTCTACACTCTTAAAAATAAAGGTTCTTTTTTGGAATTGATGGTTTCATGAAGAAACTTTAACATCAATGAAAACTTTTCATTCCACAAAAGGTTTATAGTGGAAAAGGGTGCTTTAGATTTTTAAAATGTTCTTCAGACTGAGAAAAATTGGTTGTTTTAAGAACTGATTACTGAAAGGTTCTTTGGGGAACTAAACTAAATGAAATTGCTCTAGTTGTCCATACAGCTGTTCTTATGAGGAAAATGACTTAATATGCTAAATAATGTTTTAATAATAATAAAAAAAGTAAAACCGCAGAAATGTTACTGTAAGGTTTGAGGTAGAGGACAGGAAATATCATTACATCAATATATAAACAATAGAACTCTACACTCTTAAAAATAAAGGTTCTTTTTTGGAATTGATGGTTTCATGAAGAAACTTTAACATCAATGAAAACTTTTCATTCCACAAAAGGTTTATAGTGAAAAAGGGTGCTTTAGATTTTTAAAATGTTCTTCAGACTGAGAAAAATTGGTTGTTTTAAGAACTGATTACTGAAAGGTTCTTTGGGGAACTAAACTAAATGAAATTGCTCTAAAAAAAACCTTTTGGAACCTTTATTTTTAAGAGTGTAAGGAAAATCTTCTTTATGATAGTGTTGTTTGTGTGTGTGTGTGTGTG